GCAGGAAATCAAGTGATAAATACAGATCATTCAACTTGTGTTGCCACATTGCAATAAAAGCATTCAAAAGATCGTGAACCAGCAAACGTGTTGTGTACCCCTCCCATAATATCCATATTATTAAGGGGAATTCAGTAGTGTCATAGACGAACAGGAAGATACACAGTTGAATATGAGAGACAACTCATGGGAGACAAATCTTACAACAGTATGGATTAACATTAATATAGATGAATATGTGCTCTATAATTCAGCGCGTCATCGTTGCCTGTATAACTCCCCGATTCTACAAATATATCCTATGGGAAAAGGAAGAAAATAAAATAGCCAAGGAAGTAACACTAGCTCAGTAAGACTGTTGTCCCTATTTATATATCTCAATAAAGTAAATACACGGAGTCTGAACATTGACTGTTCCGTATCTTTATATTAACACGGTTAAAATATGTTGAATATGGGGAGAATAATAAAGAATCTACAAATATATCTGTTCTTCTATCTTCGCAGACTTCTAAGAAAACACAATAGAGAAAGAGTAAGGGAGGACGGCGGAGAAACAGGCACAGGGCGCACGATTACCACAGGAAGAAGGAGATAATAAAGTAAATCAAGGGGGAACGGAAACCACCTGGAGACGAAGAGTGGGCAATCCTGCTTGTCAGGGGCTGCTTAAAGTCCACACTGTAAATCCAGAGCGGATAGCATTAAATGGTTAACCGTAAGGAATAGACGTTAAAGGCTGATAACACAACCAGAAACAGAAAGAATAAGCCTTTAACCATAAAGCTTGCACAATAAACCATACCACACAACAACTCAACGTTGGAAACCAATTAATACAACAGATCTCAACACCATAAAAGGTAAAACCCAAGCAATGCAGAAGGGCGCCTCAAATTCATACATGTAGAACATAAAGATGATCCCTAACGCAGAAACATTCGGGGAAATACCTTGAGGAGCGATAGGACCAAATACACCAAAGGACATTACAGCATGAATCATAGCACATACCCCTGAACAGTGCACAGTACCCAAGCAATATAGACCATAGACCTAGGCCGGACAGAAACCACCCTACACTTCATCAAAAGGAGATAAACACTAAAGGAGTCCCCTAAGTCCTAAACAGTGAAGTTGAATCCGCCACCAAGGAATCTGAACCGTACACCGTCAAGATATGGCAAAACATCTTAAGCCTAAGGAGATAGAAAAGAAAAACGGCCAACAGAGATAGAGGAGCATATGTAAGGCATTAACCCTAGAAATAAAGAATAGAGGGTGAGAGTACACGCTAACGATCACGCCTTACTGATAATACGTAGAACCTAAGCCATGAGATATACAGCCTAACCCCCAGAAGATACAACCTAACAACTACACCCTAGATCATAAAAACCTAAGAATGATCACAATACCAAAGGCGCATAATCAGGGAATCTTACCCGCCTAAGATAACTTATCGAACAGTACTAATAAACGCTAAGAGGTAAACAAAGCCCCCCGGCCATAACCAGACACCTGGAGGCGTAAACATAGAGGATAAAGCCTGAAAACTACCCTCAAAAGTCGAACCGGGAGGATAAGAAATAAAGCATTAATGCTAAATATTAGACAATACAGACTGAACAATAAGACTTGAGACATCAACAAACCTCCATAAGCCAAGAACACAATGCCTGAGTAAGACCCAAATGAAATAGGTGCTTACACCCTGCAACCTAACTGCGTAAAATTGAAGCGTAAAAACCAAGAGGTACAGGTAAAATATATAGAGTGAAATGTACTCTTTAACAAAAATCTATAGAATTGAAGCCCTCGAAATTACAAGAACCTAAGCCAAACAAGAGCGTGAAAAGGGAAGCCTAGGATTAAGCAATAATGGGAGGAAACTAAAGGCTCAACGAAGGAGCTGACAGCACGACTTAGGCAGTACGAGATAAAATCCATATAATAAGGGAAATGGACAGGGACTGAAGAACTACCTCTGCGATATACATTTCCAGTCTCTACGACTAAGCATTGCCTGTGCCCAACAATGCCTGTAGAATGGAGCTTACTTCAGCCTCACTGAGCCTTAAGCCATCCCTGACCTCCCATAGAGGTTAAAGCCCAGGAATAGAAGTAGGAGGAGCAGGGCTCATACTCCAAAGGATAAATCCAAAATTGGAAACTTGATCATTCTGGGCTAAAAGATATAGCATAAGGAATGAAAGCTAAAGAGTTAAAAATACGAGCGAAGGCAATAACAAAAAAATATAGAAACAGAAGCATGACCCGAGAGGTCCTAGAAAATAAACTCTGAAATAGACGCGATAGTCTTGCACCATGAACCTGAGGAATAAGTGTTCAAATCGAGCCTCGATCCTGGAGGCACACCATTAAGAGATTGAGTCGTAATAGAAAAACGGAGTCTCTAAATAATAACCCTTAAACCTAACAACATGAACTGCAGGAAGAGAGAAGTTATAAGTTGCGCCTAACAGATAAAGAAGGAAAAAGCAACCCTCAGGAGCTAACAATAAAGAATACAGAATAAGGCATCAACAACCAAAAGTACCAGCACAGTCAAGAGTCTAAAGCTAAGGATACCCTCTGAAACCTAAACCTACCTTCAAAAACTATAAGCAGCAAAGGTAAGATCTACAGGGAAAATCCCACCCTAACCCTGAGTCCACCAGCCTATAAAATACAGGTGCTTCCTTACAAGCAAAACACCTCAACCCTAAACACTAAACGTCCCTGCTTGAGGACAAGATATAAATCACCCAAAGACATTCCTCGACAGTAAGTCATCCCCTATGAAATCTAGGACTAAAGCCCAAGGGCAGCAAATTACACTCAACCAATAAAACGGGGAGAGCAACTTGAATCATCAGCATGAAATCAACAAAGGAAATGTCGTCCCAAACGGGCAAGTTACAGAGGGATGCATAATAAGATGCGCTACCTACAACTCCAAGTATGAACCGACCCAACTGGCCTTAAACAGGGAGTGCGAATCCAAAAATCAGACAACATAGAATCCAGGGATGCTACCCATAGTACCAATAGGTGAAGCACTTTTATAGTCTCCCTCTGTGAAAAAATAGAAACCTAAGGACTAGCACCTGTAGTAGTAAAACGACAAGAATACGCAATAATACCTCTAGAATAAACCTTGAAACGTAATACCTAAATATTAAAACGAAACCACTCCCCCTTGAACACTACACAGTAATTCCAAGAACTATAAAATCTGCAACGGACAGAACAGAAATCGAAGGCATGACTGCAGGGAACGGGGACCCTAGAGTAGACCTAAAACGATAGATCCGAATCCCTGACCGAAGTAGTCTAAAAACATTCCACACAACCCCTCCCCAAAACCTAAACCCACCCGACTACACCTTAAGGTGAACAGTATCCAGGGAAGCGAAGACATATATTTCCGGAATCGTAGAATTTGAATCCACTTGCGAAATCCCAGGAGCAACAGCCTAGGTGACTCAACCCGAATAAGTGAAAGCTGAAAAGTTACGCCTTATCTCCGCAAGTGCCGAAGGGTCAATTGAAGAACAGGGAAATTTTAGAGAACCGACAGGATGCAGCAATCTGCAAGCAGGAAGCCAAGACTAGAACCTAAAGGATAGCGCGCAATCGGGAGATATACTGAACTTCTGATGAAGAAGCTAACGGCAGAAATATGATGATTATCCAAAAAAACATAAGACCAATACATTATCACCAGGACGCACAAACCTAAAACACTAAACCATAAAGCTAAACATGAAACCCTGAACCTAAACCCTGAACGCTACCACCTTAACGGTAAACCCTAAATCCTGAACCCTAAACCTAAACCCTGAACCCTAAACCTAAACCCTGAACGCTAGCACCTTAACGGTAAACCCTAAACCCTGAACCATAAACCCTGAACCCTAAACCGTGAACCCTAAACCCTGAACCATAAACCCTAAAACCCTGAACCCTAAACCCTAAAACCCTGAACTCTAAACCCTAAATCCTGAACCCTGAATCCTAAACCTTGAACCCTAATCCCTGGACCCTAAATCCTAAACCTTGAACCCTAAACCTAAACCCTAAACCCTAAACCCTGAACCCTAAACCCTGAATCCTAAACCTTGAACCCTAAACCTAAACCCTAAACCCTGAACCTCCAACTCCGAATCCTAAAGCCATAAACACTAAACAATAAACGATAAACCCTAACCCATAAACACCAAACCTCAAGAACCCGAGATGCCTAAACGTTACACCCTATATCCTAAACCCAGAAACCTGAACTCTAAAACCAACCCCTCCACGCAAAAGTCAAACCCCCCCCCCCTCAAAGGTCTCCTCCACAATACTTGTTTTCACTGCTAAAGATCTAACTCCCAACCCCCTATGCTAAACCTCGACCCTCTGAACTCCTCACTCCATATCCCGAAGTTTAGTCAAAAAAAGAACTCGTATCCCAGTCATCCATCACTCCTCAGGGGTTCCTCCCGCCAGGTGTTCCTATTCACGCATACGCCAGTGCCCCTGATTTCGTTTGTTGCTTGCTTTTTTTCAGTGCCATTAACTATTTCTTGCCTCGACCTTCTCTGTCTATTTCCTCTACCTAACCTTAATACCTCACGATATTCTTTCGCCCCTTGCCCACTTCCTCGGTTCCGATTATTCCTTGCATCAGCAACTTCTCCTTCTGGCGCCTATTCTTCCTTCTTCCTGTGATGTAGTCGTCAGGGGTGCTTATTCATCTCCCTGTGTTAGTCCTTTCAGAGTTCCGTAATCAGTTCGGTTTGTTACGTCAAAACTCTTATCTTAATTCCATCTTCCCCGTGCAGACTCGGTCCCTTAGGGCCCTCCTTTTCTGGGGGGGTTCTTCTGTTGCTATAAAATGTTGTCCTAACGCCCCTTAATTTGAGTCTAGCCCCCCCCTTTAATCGAATCTTCTCACATATATCAGTTGTTGGCTTTTGTTCCTGTTGGGTCCTCTCCAAGGTGTTGTCCCCTCAAGTTAAGTCATCTGCCTCCTTTTGTGATTTCAGTGGGCCAGTTAGATAACTCAGTCCTACCCGCCTTCTTAACTTCTTTGGTACCTCCTGGATTAGGGTGGGCCCGTCTCTTACCTTTGACTTCAATATCCTCCATAAGCCATAACCCCCCAGAGCTCCTAAAAGTAAGACTATACCCGTCCCTACTCCCTCGAGGTATCCCCCGTTGGGCTTGGTTGGGCGTATCCCTGAGACCCTATTCTGGGTGTCCTGTACCAATGCTAGAAATGCTGTCTGTTCTTGGGCCATTTCTTCCCTTGCCGCCTTTTTCTAAGAATAGAATTATTTAAGAAAGTGAAGGTTTCTTCCATTATTTCTCTTTTCCTTAATTACTTTTTTAGTCTTAGAGGGGAAAATTTGGAGTACACTCCTGCTTCTGTTCCGAGTTTACTTCTCCAGACCTTTCCATCGGATCTGACTGTTCTCTCCGGGTTTCTCTGGTCGCAGAGGACCCTATCTATATGTGTTCCACTTTCCATAGAACTCTGGTTACCTAACCCTCCCTTTTCTGCCGAGAGCTTACCTCCTGCTGCCAGGTTGCCTCTGTTAGATCTGTGTCCACTTCACAACTTGATTCGTTCCTCCGGTAGATGCATGTTGTTTGATATCTGTCCTGTCCATCAGGGTCCTGTGTGCATTGCAGTCCCACTACTGAAACTCCTAGCGGCTTAAGAAATTCTCCCCAGGATCCTCCCTCATTCACTTTAGAAATTCTTGGTAATCCTGTATATTTTTTGTCGCTTCCTTCGTTCAAGAACCAATCTTTCATGAACTTTCCTGAAGCCTCCCTACCAAGTTCCTTCTTTAGTTGATCGTATATTGCCTGGCATATATTTCTTGTTCCAGGGATATGGACCCAGTCGGTTCCGGTTCTTGATACATTATTTAACATATCCAGAATTAGACTCATCACTCTTATGCATAGAGCCAGCGCCTTTTGGTGAGGCTGATTCCAATACAACTTCACTCCAGCATTATATATGCTCCATAAATCCAGATTCCTATCATATGGACATGCCTGCGGGTCCCAAGGTTTACCTAACCAACCTGTTCTTTCTGGGGTACACCTTCCCTCTATCCACAATGTCGTCCCTTCTGGGGTTGTTCTTAGACTCCTCATCCATATATCCAGGGCCTTACATAGACTTCGCGCTCTGGTTTCCAATTGGAATACCCCCACATGTCCCTTCCCCTTAGACGCTTCCACAGCTAACTCTTCGGTTATCTCGCCTGCCTTCTTAGCTGCCTGCATCTGACACCACGTGTTGTTCTCTAGGTTAAGGGTACCTGGGGATTCCTTATCACATGTTATTTCCTTTGCCAGTTCCTGTAGATATCCACTCATCCCTTGATTTGACATCATGCCTGTCGGTGAAACTACTGAGTTTCCTTGTGCTTTGACGTCTTGGACGCGTTTGACTTCGTCCGTCTGATCTCCTTTGGCCGTAGCCTTCCCTTATCGGATTTATCTGTTCCGATACGTTGTCGTTCTTGTTTCTTATTAGGTTAATGTTTGTCGGGGCTGCCTGTTCCTACTCCCTCTTTGCCTCGTCTTTCTTCTACTTTTGTTTTCTCTTCAGCTGCTTCTTCCCCTTGGGTCATTCTTATCCGATTGGGTTTCCCTTCAGCTTATTACCCCTGGTTTGGTCCTTTGGATACCCCTCTTGGTCTTATTGGCCGGTGTTTAGCCTCTGGCACGATTCTCGACTTTTTCGGACATAATGTTCTCCTGGTTGTGATCTCTACTGGACGGTCCTGCTTGCCTTCTGTTCTATCCCTGCTTTCTCACCTCTTTCTCCGGGTGGTCAGACTCCTTTTCTTCTATTCCTTTTTTTTTCTTACCGCTAGCCACTTATCCTCACGCTGGCGCCTCCTCCGCTGTTCCTGAATTTCTTCCGCCTGTTTCATCCCTTCGTGAGTGACCTGTTCCCTGATTTCTCTGCTGTCTCCCCTTCCGCTCCTCCTCCGTCCTTTCTTTCTCCTGCTATTGTCGCTCTTGACAGCTTTCTCTTCGCCCCCCTCTTCCTTCTCATGACGAGGCTCACGCCCTGTGTTTCCATTCTGCTTGGCGCCGTGTTCTTTGGACTTCTAACTCCTTCCTCTTCCCTACTCTGTTCTCTTTCGTTGCCTCATCTAGCCCATCCTCCCCCGTAGACTTCCTCGGCCTTCTGGTGTTCTTTTGGTTATCCTAAACCTGCTGTTTCTTTGACTCCTGTTGGTTTTTCACATGGACTTCCGTTGAATGACCGATTTTGTCTCACGTGCCTCCCCTGACTTTGTGTTCCTTCCTGTTTCGGTCTCAACGGCGGTTGCCTGAAACCTCCTTAGAATGGATTCCCGGTCTGACTTGTTCACTTTTTACCCTCGGACTCATCCTCCTCACTTGCTCTTATCCGGCGTCCGTCCCTTCACTCTACCTCCTTGACCTTTCTGTGTGGTGGATGATTGAGAACTCCTGGCCCCTTGACCCTCTCTTCATCTAACCCTCTGCCCCTCGTGAACTTGTTCCTCCTTCTTTCCTTAGGCTTACATCTCACCTACCCCCTCGGCCTCATATATAGGAGTTGTTCTCTTTGACCTCTTTTATTTGTTTCTTCCTTCTCCTGGATTTGGTGCTCACGCATCGCTGTTCCGCTCATCCTTGTTCCTCTCTCCTTCTTGACCTGATTCTCATCTCTGTAACCCGTGTAGAGTCCAGGGTCTTCCCCTTCTTTTTGTCCCCCCTGGATACAGACATTCTCTTGTTTTCACCCTGCCACTTTTATCTTTCAAGCTTATCCGCCCTCCTCGTGGGTCGTCCAGAATCCGCTCCCTTTACCCAGAATCTTCTCCTTCTCGCTCCCTGGTTGCTCACTCCTCTGAGTTTCGACGTTGATCTCCTCCATTTGTTCTGAAGATCCCCCTTGCTGACGTCCTACTCGTCATGATCTGGATTCCTCCTAAACTCGCCCTTTCGGTTTTTCTGTTTCCCTGGATTCTTTCTAGTTCCCGGTGTCTACGCATCCCCTGCTGTTCTCCTTATCCCCTCTTTCACTCAGTTTTGCTGGTTCGGTTGTCTTTATCCTTCTGTTCGGGTTCTGGTGGGGGGGTTTTTATCGGATTTTGGTTCCCCCGTTCCGTTGTCTGCTATTCTGGACTGTCGTTCGTCTTTCTTCCTTTGGCCCTGTTGCTCCCTGTCAAGGCCCTACTGGGAGTCGGGCAGCCCCACGATTTCTTTCACACCTGTCGTCCCCCATGACGATTCAATTAACTGTCCCACCCCGGGGAGTTACCCGTCAACCTGGGGGTTCGAAAGTGCTCTAGAATTTTCCTCATACGTTGTCTGTTTCGCGATTTCTGACTCCTTGTTAGCCCTGCTTTTTCATAACCGTCTCCCGGCTGCTCGCATCCTCTTCCCTGTTGGATCCCTTGTGGGGTGTCTTGTTCGAGGGATCTGAGCCTGTGACCTTCAATTGTCCTTGTCCCCGTTTAGGATTGGACATCCCTTCTTCCCGTCTACTTAATCAAACGCCGCCACTACGACATTCTTATTGGAAAACTTCTATCCCCAGCTGTTGCCTTCTGCCTTCTCATCCTTCTTATCATACTTCCGACTCCTGATCTGAGACACGTTGGCTTTGTTATATTCTATGCCTGGCGTGTCCTCTGTCTCGGTGCTCCACTGCCGTTCCTGTTTACACCCCTCCCCCGATTATTTCACCCCCCTTATCTCTCATCGTCCGTCTTTACTCTTCTTGTTGCTTCTAACCTCTCGGTGCTCTTCATCTTGTTTTGGACGTTCGACCTTCCTAGGGGAGTTTCTTCTTTTCTTGAAATTTCCTTCTGCTCCCGCCCCTTCTGAGGATTCGATTTTTAGTCTGCAGACTCAATCCCCTCCCTCCGTATCAGTCACGGTGGCTCACTTCTGCGTAATTGAGAGTCATTCTATTCAGTGAGTTCTCTCTTTTTCTCACGGGACTCCGCCTAAGAGACCATTATTATCCTGATTAATCCTCAATTTCTAGCCCAACGTGGATCTGTTTGGACTCTGTTGCGTCTACACGGGCTTCCCTTCACCTGAGTTATTTGATTGGTCCCGTTAGAGTAAATTTCTTTCAGTCGTTTCTGTGAAGCTTGGACTCCTATATGGTGACCGGATTCAATCCGTTTCTTTGTCCGTTCATACTGGATTTGTTCTCTCTCTTTTCTATTGTTACTCTTCTTCCTCTACCCGGCTTCTGCTAACGCTCTTCTCCGATTTCTTGTTTTTAGCTTCGTTGGTTGCTGTGTCTGGTCTGATTCTTCCGGTGCTATCCCTGGTCTTGCTTTGAGCTGCTGTTTCTCGGAGAACTCCGTCTGGAGTTTGTCCTATTCCTTCCTTCTCTTGATCTGGTGTCGCTGAGCCCTGTTCGAGACTTGCTCCTTACCTTCCTCCTCCTTAGGCCTGTGCCCTCCTGTTCGCTCATAGTGGTGACTTCTTTACTGATTTTGCTATCTGATGTCATGTCCTTGTCTTGATCTTCCCTGTCAGTCCCTACTTGTAGAAATCCTATCCTCCTTCTCTTGTTTTTTCTTCTCTTGCCGGCCCGCCTTTTTCCCTCCCCTGTTGAACCTAGATGAGTCTAATCCCTCCACTATCCTTCGTGGTTGTTGGTCCCTTTGATTTTGGTTCAGAATTTGGTTCCGGGTTGTGGGTATTTGCCTCGTTGGGTCGCCCTCCTCTCATTCTATTCTTCCTTCAACTTCATTGGCCCCCTGGTCTATCCTTTAATGATTTATTCTTAATTCCTTTGGGGAGTTGTTGTCTCTTCAAGCCTCCTTCTTGGGGTGTGTTTTTCCTCCTCCCATTTTATTCGGCCTCCTGCTTCTGCTTCTCCTCACTCACGCCCGAGCTTCTTTGGCAGTTACTGCCGGTTTTCTTAAGCTCTTTCTTCTACTTTGTCCTGGATCAAGTTTGCGCTTTCGAGTCACGTTTCCTTTCCGGGGGATGAAATCTTCGTGATTTCCCCTGGTCTCCTTACCATCTTCCCTTAGCTTACATAGAGTTGAGGTTTCTGGGACCGGAACTTCCTATATCTTTCTTCTTCGACTTGAGTTGGTTTTTCCGCCTGTTTCACTGTTTGGAGGGTGCCTTCTTGGCTCGGGTGAACTTTATATGACTTAGGCGCCTCCTACAACTGGTGTTGGTGGTCTGGTTCCTAGTTTGCTGTACTGGATTTTTCGCTGAATCAGAATTGGACCTTAGGAATCCCGGGTTCCTTAACTCTTCGGGAGTCTCGGGTCTCTTTTGATTCCTAAAGTCCTAACATATTTGCCCCGATCTTTCTTGTCTTATAGAGTCAGTTTTCAAGTCTTTACTGTTTCTTAGGGCCGATTCGTCGCTTGTTTGACTTCAAGAAGTCTACTCCTGAGTTCTCCATTTAGTTCCACCTATTCTCACGTGTCCTCCTGTGACGGCTTGTTCGTCTTCCTCGTTTGATTTTTGTTCTGTTTATTACCCGTTTCGGTGTAGTTGCAGTTTCTTCGGTTCCTTTTCTGTCTTTTTTTTTCTGATTTGGAGGGTTTATTTCTTCCTTGGGAAACTTTGGCCCCACAATTACCCCTCTGTCCAATTTGGCTGTGGCGTCGTGTCGAGGATTTTTTAATTTTAGATCCTTCCCTTGGTTAGACCTTAACTTCTGGGGGGGTTCCTATATCTTCCTTAAGGCCTCAGATGTTGGGCTTCCCCTTTGGTTTATTAACTTCTCCTCGGTTTCTTCGGGTTCCCCTCCTTTTGTTTATTTGGTTTTCTTGCTAGTTCGGAATTTGTGAGTGACTTTAACTTTCCCTTACTCTCTTTTGTTCTCTATGCTCCCTTTGGGCTTTCTAGTTATTTCTTGTCCCGACTGTGGCGCCTGGACGTCTTTTTAACCCTGTAAACGCAAGATTATTCTTCTGCCTGTCCTTCGCCCTCCCCTTTTCGCGGCGGGAGATTTGGTTATTCTGTTGGAGTCTATGTTGGAGAATCTTTTCTGGAGCCTCGTTCTTCGTAACTTCCTCCGTCTTCTTCTCCTTTATTCTACTGTTTCTCTTAGAACCTTTTTGTCTTCTTTTATATCTTGCTTTTTTGAATAAATACCATATTTAATGTCGGGCTTTAAGGCTCCTTATTTTCTCCATTTTGGGTGTTTTTACCTCTTGGAAGTTCTCACTACTTCTCAGTTTGCCTGCTTGTTTCAACTTCCTCCCTGTGGCTCTGACTTGTTGTCAATGTCAATCTATGTTGGATCTTGGTGTCTCCCGCTATTACCTACCTTCGCTCATGCAATGATTCCAAGTACTGATGATTCTGGACATCATTTGTGGATTTTGATGTTCCTTTCTTTCCTTTTGTTTCCGGATTCTTTTTTTTTTAAAGGATTTTTGAAGATTTTCCTTTTATTTCTCCTCCTAATATTCTTCCCCTGTTATCCCCTGTAGACTTGATATTCCGTTTAGCTGTTCATGTTGTTCTACCGTGCCGATTTTTGCTGTGTTTGGGGGCTTGCGGGGG